CGACCTGTGGTTAAATCTTTAATTCGAGAAATGAGTATTTGGTGTAATCATTAACCTAGGGTCGAACAGGTGGAAATTGTCTCATTCTTCAATGACGTTCAACCTTCTTCACAACGACTTTGGCGCACTCATGGACCCGAACCGTTGACTTCAGGACAATGACTTCGCTGTACCAAAATAACGCTTATAATCTATTCAATCTCTGGCATATAACACCAAACCCAAAACCCTTTTTACTGACAAAATGTTGTATTGGATTTTTGGGTTTGGTTTTGCTGTTTGGATCGCTTGTACTTGGTTTATTTGATCAATAATGTTAAACAGTTTTAAGTCATGAACTGTATTCGCAGAATATGACAAAGACCGTGTTTATTTAAAATTTATCCATTAAGATAGAGGCCCATGTAAAATGTAGGTCCTTAAAAGAAATTTTCTCCTGACACCCTCAAGTAAACTTTGACCTATACATGTCGAGTTGAGTTCCTGAATGAAACAAAGTTGAAGTCAAAATAGCATGTGGGAGTGAACGCAGGTGATGGTTTTCACAATTATGACGGTGATTAATTTGATTTCGATTCCCAGAAGAATTTTTTCTTTACTCAAATGTATGGCACTTGTTTGCTTTGCTAAAGACGGCGTCTCCGAAAGCTAAAAATTGACTTTTTTCGCAATATTTCACAATTCCCATTTTCATTACAACGCACTTTAAACAACTACATTTACTTAAATTTAATTCGTTTCAAATGGATTCTATTTCTAATAAGTCTGCAATATGTTTAGAGAAACAACATTAATGGCGTGCTTTGAAATGTCGACGTGGATTTCATAATCTAAATTTGTTTTTTTTACAGAAAGCATGACTGGCTTTGAACAGAAATTTTATTTTGTTTTGAATGCGTTATTAAGAATTCATAGATAATTATGCCGCTTGTTGACCTCAAATGACAATTGTTTTTTTTTCGCAAAGGCGTGCAAAGATGTCTGGTGTTGATTTAAAATATAAGGAGGAGCATTCTATTTTGTTTTGAGGTATGTTATTGAATAAATTGAAATAAACAAGCCAGATTATTAATATGTTCATCACCACTTAAACTACCTAAAAATATAGAAGACTGTTCTGGTTCATGTTTTGTATCATACTTCAGTGTGCATACATATCTTACGTGAGAAAATTCAGTGAATTTGGAACAATAATGGTGATTGCTTGACAATGTAATATAACGATTTGAATATAAGATACGTTATTAAGAATTGGATGACGTATACAGATTACTATGATGAGAACGAAGGGTAATTTAAGATGAGAAACTGGTATCCTGTAATCTCCTCTTATTAACTTTCCAACTATCATTATCACATGAATTGCTGCTTTGAACACATATAAAGCCATGATTATATCATTGTGTAGTGAAGGA